GGTGTTTATTTTATGGACATAGATTAAATAGGTGCAGAGTTTTAGGGACGTTTGTAAAGCTGAACACTTAGATGACAAAATGGGCTGTGCGTAAAGGCCTCCCATGTTCTAATAGTTAATAAAGTTAATCAAAGCTGGCCTCCTGCCGTAAATAGTGACCTCTGCTGATGCCATCTTCACAAGGTACGAAAACAAACGTAGCAGCACAGCGCTATTATCAGAAATGAAGTTTAGGACTGGAATGCCAGATTAAATGGAGGTAGGTGAGATCTAACATATTGCCGTCTCAGATTATAGCAAAAAATATCGGAGGTCCTTGCGCAAGTTTCGCAATTTGAATATAATATTATCTTGGTGGTCCTAAAATAAATATATTATTGATGGTGGTCCTAAAATCGATAAGAGTAGGCTTCGGCCGCCATCTGGGCAAAACTGGCTGAAACAGCACCAAGACATGGGTGACACTTGCCTTTCTGAATAAATTATTGATGGTTTGCCGAAAGTTTAATATTAATTTCTCATAAAACTGAACATACTCTAGTCAGTATAATAATGTAGAGTATCTTCGAAATCTGAATGTGGTTGTCTTAAAGCACGGGGCTCTGCGAAGTAATAAAAACAATCAAGGTTGAAGAGTAGTGATTACCCTTGAGATATAGAAGAGGAACGGAGTGAAGAAGAATGCTTAAGTTCTTTTCTTTTGCTCCTTGAAGACCGTACATCAGTTCTATCAATCATATCAGTGGAGCCTCACACCCTCGTAATAAACAGGAAGGTATTTGATTTCTCCCAACACGAGAATCCATTGGCCCAGAGGTCAGGGAGCTCGGGCTCACTGTTATGTCAAGCATGCCTTTTGGGCGAGGGAGGTGGCCACTGAGATGTGTACTTGAGAAAGACAAACCATGCCTGAAAATAAGCCGCTCACAGTGACGACAAGCGATTAGGTGTTGGTTGGGTGTATTGGTTTATTATTCTGTATTATGTTAAGTTGGTCATTATAATATATATGTGTGCGTGTGTGTAATAACAAGATGTATATTATGTAAGGCTATTGCCAACCAATTTTGCCCAAGGAGATAAATTAAAGTATAATTCTATTTCATTTTTATTTCAACTAATAAATGTTCGATATGCATGGAAAAACTGCCCCCCCCCAAAAAAAAAAAAAAAAAAAGAAAAAGAAGAAAAACAACTTTTGTATTACGGGCATTTCAACATGTAGACTAAGACAAAAGGGGAATTGTCATGCGCGTTGAGAACATCGAGGGAAATGTCGGAACTGTCTGTTGACGTCAGAACAAAAGGCTCACACTCGTCATCCTCATAGTACTTATGTGTGGCATCGCAGTGAAATCAGGCACGGGTCAAAATAATAAAATCCAAGAATGCGATATTTTCCCGCTCGTTGGGCAAGTTTGTCGGTTTTTTGTCTATTTTTGTGGCTGAAATCCATTTTTGTCCATTTAACAGCACGTTCCTGCTTTGAAAACGTTGGTGAAAGACACAAAAATTGTTCATTTGCAGTTTTCAATGACACCCAAGCTTTGGCAATCACAAAATTTGTGGCGATCATGTTTTCGTTTATTGTACCTGATACCAGTCAACCCCCACCCCCTTCAATTTGAACTTCTATACAGGACAGATGGGTATTTTTTCGTCAAAAAGCAAGACAAACGAACAGGCTCTATGATTATACAAATTACCCCATATGCCCAACAATTGACGAGTGCATGATTCCATTGCGCCGTGACACAGTATAGACAACTCACTACCTTAGAATTACAGTCTCATCTGACATTCTTGGCCGGTTTAAGTTACTAAGACCATGAGGTCAAAAACCAAACGATCTATCTGCTCTATTAAAATCGTAAGTTTATTCGGAGTCGCTATCAAGATATTCAAAGAATTGCATGCTGTTGTGAAACTCAACATTTTTTACGTCAAATTTTTCAAAACTAGGTACTGAGCAGATAAACCTACGTAATTCTGGTGAAGCGAACTCCCGAACAATCGTCGGCAGAGACAGAACTTTGTCTACAATCTTCCTCACACATAAAACGTAGACCGATAATGAACGAATTCTATTGTCTGCTGCAAAAGAATAGTGTTTACAACTAATGGATGGATGTGGGCGAAGAGGGCACCTCTGACAGGTCTTATTTTTTTTCTCTCCTTCTGTACGTTTTGACAGGATGTTTTATTTTTTTTCACCTATCGCTAAGCGACAGTTATTGTAACGATGTGCTTCTGTTTACTCGCACTTAAAAACAAAACAAAACAAAACAACAACAACAACAACAACAACAACAACAGCAACAACAGCAACAACAGCAACAACAACAACAACAACAACAACAACAACAACCAACCAACCATCCAGCCAACCAACCAAAAAATTCCAAAGCACTAAACTTATTTTGTACATTGCACCTTTTGAAATATTTTTGTCTACACAATCTATCTGCTTGATTGTAGATCTGCCTAGAATCTATATACGTATTGTCAGCATCTTTGCAAAATGTTCAGTTATAATTGCACAATTTCTTCTATTTCGTCTCTTAATATTACCACCATGGCGATGTGGTTGGTTCTTGTGTTAAAAGGGGGGAGGGGGCTACACCAGACATTACCGATTAGAGTCAAAATTATGGATTTTGCTATATAAGCATTTTTGACTTCTTCAGCCTCTCTTACACCTCTTGATTCATCATATAAGAACCCCCTAAAGCCTTATGTTTTCCCATATCAGGCATGTTAGTCACCACCATATCCTCATTACGTCCTTATTTTTTTCTTCATTGTCCGTTTTCTCAAAACGCCGTTTTTCTATATACTTAAAAAAAATAACTCCACCATTTTTCATCCGATCGTCATAACATTTTCACAGAAGAAGAGAAGATGTGTCAATATAGAACTGTGTTTGAATTTTCAAAATATGTGATAGAACTTGTTGTAGGTGTCTGGAGTGTTGACGTTCACCGATTTGATGCAACCTTGGATGAAACTTAAGAAAAAGATTAATTAAATTTGTTTCTAATTCTTTTAGAAAAAATTCAACCGACCATTTAGAAGAGCTACTGTTTGCTAACATTTATGCAAAAAGACAACCTATTTCCATTGAAAATAAGGGAGGTAGTAACTGTATATGACATGTCAACGATATCTAATATGGTAGCGATATCCATGGCAACGATACTTTTTGTTTAAACCTAAAATTTGATTGTGAAATTAAAGACTCTTCACTAAGCTTGTTTTATGTGTGAAACGTGGGCACATGTGATCCACAAATAAAGGACATAGCCCTCAGATGTAGCCCCCTGCCCCTCCCTTTTGAACAACTGGGTATGAAGTTTACGAACCGTCTGTTTACCACACTTGTGATGAACAGAAAAATCATCACGATATTACCTTCCTGAGAAAACCCGTCAGTAATAGTGCATAAACAAGGCAGGTGATAGGTCTAGCTATTCAGAAGAAACCATATGTCCACCTCAATGTGATATTGCAATAAAGAGTCACCGTCGTACAATGAGTACATTCATGCGCGAATTCGAACACTTAATTTGTTCCTTTGCCTATCAATGGCCCCAAGCAATGCTCCAACAATCACCAAATTTGGCGCTAGTCAGAGTCTTGCACCCAGCTATTGATGTAGAAATGGTGTGATTTTTTCAGAGAAAGAGATCACTGATGAACATTTCATGGATCTTCTTAAAATGACAACCTAGTCTGCCTTCCAAAAGAACTTGACACCGGATATTGGTAACTTAATTTTCTTCTTCAGGTGTCAGGTCTTAAGCAGACATTCACGATCATGGTACCCATTCCTTCCTGTTGTCTGCCTTCTTGATTAGCTCAGTTTTTCTGTTTGTGTCATTCGTTACAAAATGGTTCAGGCCATCTGTTTGTGTACCGTTTTTTTGTCTTCTTTCCCTCTATTTTTTTACGCACCACGATTTTCTCTTGTCCATTTGATCTATTTAGGGGGCCAAAGAATCCCAATTGCCTTTTTCTGATGGCTCTCATTATGGATTTCCCACATCCTGCCATGCAACAAGAATTATTCAAAATGAGAAACACAAACGACTGGTATTTGTCATGCCGCACGTGTCGGAATAATATTGTATTTGTAGATATTTTACACTCCCTTTGACACAATTAGGGTCTGTCTTCCAGGTAGCACATGGTTGGGTAGATTCTGTCTGTGAATACCTGAATCTATGGAGGAATAGTTAGGCCCTTCGCTGTCGCATGTAGAAGACGCGAGTTCGATTCCTATGTTGGGAGACATTCTTCTGAGTATGTCGTCATTTTGTTGGGATGTTATATCCCTCTTAGCCCGGGTTGGAACTAACAGCCCGCTTCCTTAATGATATATTTAGTGGCAACAGGAGTATAAAACAGCTTCCTGTTAGTCAAATTGCATCTGACGATCACAAAGAAGAAACAAATAACCGATCCAAGTCACAAACTCCAATTTATTGATTTATTGCCGTTGTGATTCACTTAAAAATAGTTCAATACCGTTTTTATTGGAGCTTACAATAAAAAACCCAATGAGAACAAATATTGAGCTGATCAGGAGGACTGACAACACAAAGAAATAGAGAACAATGATGGTCAATATCTACTCTAGACCTGACACCTGAAGTAGAATAAGACAATACAAAAACAATCAAAGTGTTTGGAACTTGGAAATTTCATTTTCTATTAACTTGAAAATGTTGCTTTGCCAGCGTTTTCCCCTTACAAGCGTCTTAGAAGTACCGGTTAGGTGCTTGGCTGTCGCATGCAAGAGGCCCAAGTTTGATTCCCAAGTGAGGAGAACATTTTTACCGAGTATCTCTTTTTTTTCTTCTCTGGGATGTTGTATTCCTCTCAGCCTGGGTTGGCCTTGACAAGCAGGGCCGGAAGCTCACCATCTCCTAAACAACCTAAACTGTGTCGATGGGGGCGTAAAAACGAGAAACATTTTTGTCATTGTGGTCCACTGTTAACTCACCTGAGGCGTCGGGGTATAGCATCGTTCTGAGCTGCTCGTGGTCAGTAAGTGACACATCGGCCAGAGCGGACAGTGGGATGCCGTGGATGGTGGGCGAGGAAGTGATTGTGGGCGGATGGTGGGCTGCCCGGTCAGCAGATCGTTTTCCCATGGGAAAGTGTTCTGGGTAGGCCCAGCGGAGTAGCAGGCAGAAGTTGGCGTGCAGACGTGCTAGAGCT